GTGTTAACGAGCAGTTGGACAGGTGTACCTAATAAAGTGGCCGGTGAGTGTAGTTCCTTCCAATAAACAATGTAAATTGCTTATTTACTTAGCTTGTCATTGTTTTTTAATGTATTTTTTCACTACTTTGTTACATTATTGGGTGGTAGTGTTGTAGTACTTGAAACCGGTCTTGGTCTTAAGACCGGTCTCAAGACCATTTTTGATGGTCTTGGTCTTGTCTCAGACTCGACAGCATTTGTACTCGGTCTTGTCTCGGTCTCGAACATTGAGGACTTGGAATTTTATTTCAAGACCAGTCAAGACCACAACTGAGGAAATATCACTAAGCAGCCAGATTATTGTCCAATTTATTCGTTAACAATCTTGCTTTCATTTTATTTAAAATGTAGCTACTGATTCAAATTCAAACCTGACTCATTGCTATTTATGTATTTTGTTACCGACTGTCACCCATCCGCAGCACCCCCCATCACTCACACGCAGCGCTCCAGGAAAGTGAACCGTGGTTCTCTGGGAATGGTAAAAGATGTCTTCAAAATCTTAAGTAAAAAATTTGGCTACATTATTCATAAATAATATCATTGTAAAAAACAACAACCAGGAGAAAGCGTACAGTAACCTGTAAATCCGGCAGTGCTTCACTTTCAGAGACAGTGGGTACAAACTTTAAACTTTTACCATCACTGACGTTAACAGTCCGCCTCTGTAGCAAAATTCTTTCCTCTGCCCTCACACAAAGATTTTGTCAATATTAGTTCTACATATTAAGTTAGCTAAAGTGGGGGGGGGGGGTATTTAGTCAGCACCAATTGTTCAAGTTCTCCCACTTAAAAAGATGAGATAGGCCTGCGATTGAGATCATAGTTAGACTCAACTACTATTTTCCTCACTGTACATGTGTACAGAATACTCCATCATTTAGGGCACTTTTTTATCTGGTCTTGGTCTTGTCTCGGTCTCGCCCTCCCTTGGTCTTGGTCTCGACTTGGTCCAAACCCTAAAAGTCTTGGCCTTGTCTCGGTCTCGAGACACTGTGGCCTTGGTCTTGATTTGGTCTTGGGTTAGGTGGTCTTGACTACAACACTATTGGGTGGTAAAGGCCAATGTCCTGCATATGTCAGTGGATTTTCATATCATTCCTAAATCTGCCTATCTGCAATAATTGAAACAGGCAATTCCCCAAATAGAGTCTCATTAGGGCATAAATATTCCACCCTACGGACACAAACACTAGACACTCACTAATGTGAGCTCATCAAAAGCAGGAATAGCTGCAGCTTGCTGTGTCCAACAGAAGAGATTTTCTCTTTAAATATCTGATGAAGACAGAGCAGATAAGAACAAAACAGAAAATAGACAAGGGCACATGAGAGATAAAAATAAATGGACATTTTTGCAAATATGGTTGAAAATAGGCAGCACTGTGGCTGTTGGTAGAGCTGATGCCTCTCAGCAAGAAGGTCGCCGGTTCAAATCCCGGCCCAGGGACCTTTCTGGGTAGAGTTTGCATGTTCTCTCYGTGCATGCGTGGGTTCTCTCCGGGTACTCCGGCTTCCTCCCACAGACCAAAAACATGACTGTTAGGTTAATTGATAACTCTAAATTGTCCCTAGGTGTGAGTGAGAGAGTGAATGGTTGTTTGTCTCGTTTGTCTCTATGTGTGGCCCTGTGATGGACTAGCGACCTGTCCAGGGTGTACCCCGCCCCTCACTCTGTGACTGCTGGATATGGGCACCAGCGATGCTGAAAGGAATAAGCGTGTACAGAAAATGGATGGATGATTGAAAATCTTTTAACCAAACCTGTCATTTGATTATGTGTCGCTGTAGTAGGTCAGTGGTTAAAGCTGTGATCTTCTAATCCTGTGTCTGTATGATCGATTTTTCCTTGGAGTTTTGTAGTTACAGTTTTTTCACTGAAAATGTACCACAAATAGTAAAATGTGTGTTGTTATTGATTCAATAAAATAATATCAAATAATATCAAATATCCAATAATATTTTTGTTCAGGAGTCACTACTGGTAACATAACGTAATTTCAGAATATGCCATAACAGGGATTTGAATGAAGAAGTAAAGCAGAAAAATATGCATGCAGAAACAGAACCATGTTGGGCCACAAAAGCAGAATTCAGGAAAGGCAAAAATGAAGTCCAGCTTTGCTTAAGGACTGCATTTTCACCAGATGGCTTTCATACCATTGTTTTAAAGCAAATAATCTCAAACTTTACAATACCACGAGTGATGTTATGGGAAATTGCAAGGTGTTGCATGATTCAAAGTAATGTTTGCAAATGTCTCTCAGCTACTACGACACTGAGTTTTATCTCAGTTATCTGTGAAATTGAGATTATGAAATTGCCACGTTTGTGTTAGCTGAAGTCTCTGTCTATGATGGTTACCTTGAATTAGACTAACTCCAGGAGTTAATCAGTTGTGGCTGTACATCCAAAGATTACGTTCTGTACATTGGTTCATGAGAAAAAAGGGCAAAAACCCACATTTCTGTGCAGATAAATATGTCCAGTAACAAAGTAAAAACAGYTACAGAAAGTGCCACAATTGCACAGCTAGAACTCTACACTCTAGATTAGGTGGTTGGCTTTGTTTACTTTCTTATAATGAAATAAAAAAAACAAACAAAAGAAACTGAGTACAGTGAAGACAGGGAAGCTTGATTCATCTAAATCTGAAGCCGCAAAATTATCTCTCAATGACGTAGTTGCATGACTGTAATTGCATCATTTTGTTGGAAGAACATTTGCTCAAAAGTACTGTTTGACTGGTCAGAAGTTCATGAGCGTTTGTTTTTGTTATGCATAGCACCCAACTGATGATGTCCAATCCAGTAATATATATCAATGGACATGTCTATATCCAATAAAAACATTTTTTTTAGTTTAGAAAATTTTAAAAGGATTTTTCATAATTTCCGTCATTTAAATGATAAACTGAAACACTTCATCTAAGAATTCAGTATTAAATCGACATTAAATAAGTTTGAAACTAACTTTGTCCTAAATAAACCTTTTTCATGTTTTTGTTCTCTCAGGGATGACATTTTTCAGTCAGTTCTGTTCTGGACTCAGACGTCATCTATACCAGTCGTAAAGACATTCCCTGTATATTCAGAGTGAGTCGTCTTTAAGACTTCTGATGCTTTTTTCTTAAAATGAGAACATACTGTAACAGAGTTCCATCAGAACCCTGTGGAACTCTCAGTACCACAGTACTGAGAGTTCTGTCCTCAGGTGACTGCGTCCCAGCTCTCCCCCTCCAGCAGCCATAAGACCTCCATCCTGATCCTGGCTGACAGCAATCAGGAGAGGAACAAGTGGGTGGGCCTCCTCAACGAGCTGCATCGCATCCTCAAGAAGAATACACTGAATAAGTGCTTCGTTTAAGTCCCCAAAGGAGGCCTATGACAGCACATTGCCCCTCATCAAGACCACCTAGTCTGCCAAGATTATGGGTGAGAACAGAGACAAGGAGCTCCAACAAGAAGAAGATTCAATCACAGTCTATTTTAAAGTAAACATATCATTTAAGTCTGCAAGCTATCTGTTTGGCTTGGTGGAGTATGAAATGATATTTAGGTTTGTAAAGTTCATCAAAACAAACCCTGTATTTTCTTTAAAATTGCTGAATTTACTCACTTCCTGGTTCCGGAGGCTGCAGGAAGTGCCGCCACCAGGATTGCACAATCCCTTTCAAATAGCTGAATGTTGCTCAGTGAGAGCAGACTGCTGCTGTGTCTCTGTATGTCGACAGTGCAATGTTTCAAATATGTTTAATATATGCTCGACTTTCCACAGTTTGGATCAAGTTTATAATACACACACACACATATATATGTAGGGGTCACCTCGAGTGAAGAAACAAGATTTACAGCCTCTAAGCAGGCCTCGGACAGACCTGACGAGAGRACAGGAACTCTGTCACAAACTGAACTCTATTTAGGCCATGACAGGTCATTCTAACTGTGGAAGAGAACCCCTCAGTTCTCTTAATCAGATAATGGACAGAACATTCTCTTCTGTTCGTGATTCATTTGTTGTTTAACTAAGAATGTTTATGCATTTGTTAAATCATGATAATGACTGTCACAGGAA